ATTATTTTCTTTGGTGGTACAGTCTGCTCAGCATGATTCTGTCCTGTCTGCTAAGGGACAGTTGTCTTCCCTCTGGGGACCCCTTTCCCTACTTGGCACAAGTTCCTATCTGTCCTCACTGCACCTCAAAGCCCAAAGGGAAGACTGAGTTGCTGAATCCACACTAAAATTGTCTAATGTAAGCCCACCTCCTCAAAACTTAGATTTCAATATGTGATACACTAATGGGTATCACATTTCTTGCCTTTTCAATGCTTGGGAGAGGGGGTATAGGGAAGGAAGGGGAGAATTTGGAAAAAATTTGGGAGAGAATTTTTTTAAAAAGAGGGAAAGGGGGCAGCGAGGTGGCACAGTAGATAGTGCACCAGCCCTGAAGTCAGGAGGACCTGAGTTCAAATCCAGCCTTAGACACTTACTAGCTGTGTGACCCTGGGCAAGTCACTTAACCCTGACTGCCTAGTTGGAACAGGACTTCCATGTTCCAGTAAGGACATCAAAAGGTGCACATACCAGCAAAAACCTCTTAAGTCCTAAATTTGTCTCCAACCTACTTCTCCATACATCTGTCTGTCCTTCATTTGGGATAGCTAGGTGGAACAGTGGATAGAGCATCGCCGTGGAATCAGGAGGACCTGAGTTCAAATCCGACCTCAGACACTTGACACTCACTAGTTGTGTGACCCTGGGCAAGTCACTTAACCCCATTGCCTAGTCAAAAAAAAAGGGGGGGTGGAATATGATACAGAGGAAAGCACTGGGAAACTTCGGGTTCAAATCCCGACTGCTGCTTATAATCTGTGTGACTCTGGGCGAGTCATTTTAACCACTCTGGTCCTCACATTCATTCCCCATTTGAAAAATTCAGAAATCGGACTGGATGACCTTGAAGGTCCCTTCCAGCCCTAAATCAATGATTCTTCAGGCTGTCCCCCCAAGTAACTGGAAGAAGGAGATCCAGCTCTTTCTTCACAACATTGTCATCATACACTCCAGTGGATGTGTGACCTCAGTGACCCAGATCAGAATCCATCCATGCCTGCCAATCCTGTGCCACCTGTATCTATGTCTTCCCATCAAATGAGATACTATAGGTAGAGCAATTGCATACCTTACAAGTGCAATATAAGGGTTAATTATAAATAACAGTACTAGCCGCTAAGTAATAATAATAATAGCTATCATTTATATAGTGCTTCCCGTGTGCCAAGCACTGTACTAAGCACTTTATAATTGTTATCTTATTTGATCCTCCCAACAGTCCTTTGAGGTAGGTGCCCTTTTTATCCCCATTTTATGGATGAAGAAACCAAGGCAAACAGTTTAAGTGACTTATACTGGGTCACACAGAGAGTGAGTGTCTGAGGCTGGATTTGAGCTCAGGTCTTTCTGACCCCAGGCCCTGTGCCCTATGCCCTGTGCCCTATCCACTGTACCACCCAGCTGCCCTAAGTGTGTGTTTGTTAACTCCACCAAGTCCTACTTCTAGGCCACACGGTGGCACAGAAGTGACCCTGGGTCCTTGAAGGCCCTGCCAGCAAAGCACAAGTTCTGCCAGGCTGAAAAGGCTGCATATTTAGTGAGAGATCATGGCTGCCTTACTGAGAATCAGCCTCAAAAACTGGGGAAAAGCTCATCATCAGCAGGCTGACCACTAGGAGAGAAATTGTTTTTTGCCATAAAACAAAAAGAAACACATGACCCACAAGCATGTTTAAAGCTGGAGATACAAAAATGGAGGACCTTCCTCAAATATCCCCCATCCTCCTGGCCTACATCTTACTTATTTCCCTGACTATTGAACTTCCCAGCCATTAGGGCAGAAATGATCAAAGGAAAATTGTTACCTGAGGACTCTGGGGCAGTAGGATAGTGACAGGGGAAGAATTAGCCAGAGAATGAAAAATTGACCTTTTGCAAACTTACATTTGACCTTTGTCAGACCAAACCTGAGTCCAAAGGGTCTCCTTTGAGGATAAGATTGTCTTAATTATTAGGCCATTATCTTCTATAAATTTGTCAACCTACCTGCGTATTTGAATGTCACATCTTATACTCCCATGTAATTATTTTCCAACTACATGAAAAATAAATTGCCCCTTCTCTATCAAAAATGAGTACTGTTTGTCTTCTGGTGATTCTGCGTGCTCCATTGGTGTCCACACAAAAATTCTGTGATTATGGTAGGAAAGGAGCTAAAAGAACCGTTTCCCAACTGACAAATGGTCAGAGGTAATGCATAGGCAATTTTCTAAGGAAGAAATCGAAGTTATTGACAGCCATGTGAAAATATTATCCAAATCACCAATAATTACAGAAACACAAATTAAAGCAACTCTGAGGTTCCACCACAAATCCATCAGACTGGCAAAGCTGACAAAAAAAGAAAAATGACAAATATTGGAGGGGCTTTGGGAAAACAGACATACCTAGTGCATCGTTGGTGGAGCTGTGAATTGAGTCAGCCATTCTGAAAAGCAATTTGGAACCATGCTCCAAAAGTCACTAAACTGTATATACCCTTTGACTCAGTGGAACTGTGGCTAGGGCCTATACCCTAAAGAGATAAAAGAAAGATCAATAAATAAAGAGGATCAATATGTACAAAAATATTTATAGCAATTCTTTTTCTGGTGGCAGAAAATTGAAAACTAAGCAGGTGCCCATCAGTTGGGGAATGACTTGAACATATTATAGTATATAAGTATAATGGAATACTATTGTACTGTAAGAAAGGATGATTTCGGGGGGGAACAAAAAAACCTGAGAAGACTTGTTATGATTGGATACAGACAGTGAACAGTGAACAGAACTGGGAGGACAATTGATCATACTATAAATCGAGATGGGATAGGCAACAACATTGTAAACACCAGCGACTTTGAAAGACTTAAGAACTGACCAGAGCAGTAAACCAAACACAATTCCAGAGGATTGATGTTGAAACATGATGAGAGAGGATAGAATCAAGGTGCAGGATAAGACGTGCATTTTTAGACAGTGATCATTGTGGAAATATTTAACGTGACTAGGATAGAGAATGACTAAACAAATTGTGATTCATCAATATAATAGCTTCAAGGAAAAACACATAGTGGAGAATTCAGAGAAGCACAGGAAGGTTTATATGAACTGATGCAAAATTAAGCAGCACAGAAAAAAATATACAATGACTATAATAATGTAAAAGGAAAGAAGAGGAAACAACCCAAAGCTTGGCTGTCGGAGTTGAAAAAACAGACCCCTCTCCTTCACTTCTTGTCTGGGGGCCTTTTGGGTGTGGAATGATGCACAGCTCTCTGACACCGTTCGTAGAATCATGTAGCTTGAAGTCTAGAAAAGATGGCCTCAGAGACCATCAGTCCAACCCTCTCATTTTACAGATGAGAAAACTGATTTTTCTTAACTGGGTTAAGTAACTTGCCCAGAATCACATAGGTAAAAAGTGGCAGAGCCAGGGTTCAAACTCAGTTTCTATGACTCCCACTTCAGCATGGTGCTATGGTTGATTGCTCTGTTGGCTTGGGTTAGGCTAGAGCAAAGAGCCAGGTTGGAAGATTAACAGAAAATAGGTACTTGCAGGCGTGAGATTTATCACTGTGCAGCAAGCAAACCCAGAAAAATAAAACCACACATACGTACTGTATAGCAATATGGACAGAGGCGTGGCCATGCAAGGCCAAGGTTACTGACACTGTGAGGAGAACATGTACTGTAGCAGTCTCTCAGTGAGAATACATACTCGAGTGTGGTCTGAGCAGAAAAGTTATATATCTTAAAAATAGGCTTGATTAAGAACAAATAATGTTAGGTATAGGATGGGGAATTCTTAATCAGACCTAGATGTGGTTGGGAAACTACCTGGGTTGCTTTTTGATATCAGACTTGGGTTGAAGAGTTTCCTAATTTGGACCAGAAATTGGATGAGGGTCTGAATTTGTTATCAGGGATCCCAGAAATGGGTGTCACAGCAGATCTGCTGGAGCTTAGAAGCTTTGATCGTTTACATGTTTGATGTAAGGTCAGAATGAGTCAGGACAGTAGAAGAGTACAGGCTATCTGTTATTGCTTCTATGGTCATTATGGTTTATGGTCATTAGGACCACTTAGCCTAAGTGATTCCATATTGGAGTCCTTTCACTTACACTGCATCAAAAAATATATTTCACAAATTAAAATTATTATATTGCTGTGTTAAGTTTTGCTGACCTGCTCTTTTGGGGGTTTCTTTAAAAATATTTGTTACATGGATGGCTAATTGGGTAGGGTTGGGGAACGGCTCATATATGCACATACAAGTATATACACACACATGCATGCATGCACACACGTGTGTGTATGTGTATGTTTATATATATACCTACACATCTCCTATACATATATATATATATATCTCCACATACATACACATATACATACATATAGACACACACACACACACACACACAGAAGGGGAGAGAGAGCAGCTAGGTGGCAGAGTGGATAGAGCGCTGGGCCTGGAGTCACGAAGACCTGAGTTCAAATGTGGCCTCAGACACTTACCAGCTGTGTGACCCTGGACAAGTCACTTAACCCTGTTGGCTTCAGTTTCCTCATCTAGAAAATGAGCTGGAGAAGGAAATGGCAAACCACTCTAAGAAAACCCTAAATGGAGTCACAAAGAGTAGGACACAACTGAATGAAAACAATATGGAAATAGATTTTCAGATACATATGTTTTAAATGAATGTGACATAAAAACAAAAATTAACAATAAAAATAAGTTATTTTTTTTAAAAAAAGCCCTATACTCGGAAGTCAAAAGGCCTGACTTTCAGGGTTGGCTCTGCTGTGTATTTTCCCCTTAAGTCCCCAGTTTCCTTACCTGTGGCCTCTAAGCTCCTTCCAGCTCTGACAGCCTCCAAAATGTTTCAGAAGACACCCTGCTGGGAATTTATCATTGTGGTTGATTTTAAAGTAACTTTGTCCTTCTCTCGCCCTCCACTCTCTCTCTGTTTCTGCAGGTTAGGTGGGGGACCAGACGACGCAAAAGAGATTATGCAGCACAAGTTTTTTGCTGGCATTGTATGGCAAGATGTCTATGAAAAAAAGGTGGGTTCCCAGGAGGCACGGAAGGTGGGACTGCTAAGTGAGGCACCGGCTTTCTCTGGGCTTCTCTTCACAGAGGATACCCAGCAGGCATTGGAGCTGTTTCAGAGTAGAATGAGACTTTTCAAGGAAGTATGGAGTTTTCCATCCCTAGAGAGACTCAAGTAGAGGCTGAATAACCATTGTGGGGGATGTTATGGGTGTGTGTATGGTGAGGATTCCTGCTCATGTATAAGGTGAAAGAGTAGACCTCTGAGGCCTCTTCCCACTCTGAAGTTGTATGATTCTGTGACCCTAATAATAATGATAATAAATAATAATAGCTAGCATTTACATAGTGCTTTAACATTTACAGAATGCTTTACAGTATTATCTTATTTTATCCTCGAAGTAGCCCTGAGAGGTAGGTGTTATTATTATCCCTATTTTATTTACAGATGAGGAAACTGAGGCAGACAGAGGTTAAGTGACTTGCTCAGTAAATGTCTGAAGTGAGATTTGAACTAAGGCTTTCTTAGCTCCAGGCGCAGATTCTTTCCACTGTGGCCTCCCTATGTGGCTCCATTGCTGCTAAATTGAGATTAGGCTGTTGGAGCTGCCTGCCTTGAACATCCTATTTCCCCACTGGAAAGTGGAAGGAGGGCCTTCTAGGGCATGGTGAGGCTATTGGCAGGGCCTGAGGCACCCGTTGCTGGCCTCTGCCCTGGCTTGGGTGCCTGCCAGGAGCTTGGCCAAGAGGCCCTTGCTACTTTTCCTGTTCCCTCTATTTCATTGTATGAACCAGGAGGCTCAGGAGGTCACAGGAAGCCGGGGGTGGGGGATGCATTTTATCCTGGCATTTCCTCCTGAGCATCAGACCCTGTTTGCCTTCATATTCTTGATCTTCTTAAGAATTGGGATATTGTTTTGAAGTCCTTATCCAGTAGATGTCCAGCACCACTCTTTGCCTGCTACTTCCAAAAAACAAACAAAAAAACTCTCTCTCTCTCTGTCTCTCTCTGTCTATTTCTCTCTCTTTGTCTCTCTCTCTCTCACTCTCGTTAGCAAAAGTTCCTAGATTTAGACATAGAGGGGAGAGGAGGTCCTTAAAAGTTATCTGGTTCCAGGGGTGGAGAACCCTCTTGTTTTATGACAGAAATCTGTAATGCAAGTGTCCCTAGCCTTGGAATCAGGAGAGACCTGGATTCAAATCCTGCCTTCTGACACTTTATCATGAGCCTCAGCTTATTCCTTTGCAAAATGGGAATAATAATACCTATAGCATGTCCCTTACAGAGCTGCTGTGAGGAGCAGATGAGACCGTGCATTTTAAGTGCTTTATAAACTGTAAAGGGCTCCAAATGTTTACCATCATTCATAAGCCCAGTAATTGCTCTTTCTGCTGTAACAGTCTGCCTCTGGTTTTTTTTTTCTTATAGATCAGTTTTTTCCAATTTATTTAAAAAATTTAGGCACACATTTATTTTTCGGATTTGTCTTTTTTACAGGTATTCATTTATTTGTTTGGCTTTTTAAAAAATTTAAGTTCCAAATTCTCTCCTTTCCTCTCACCCCTCCCCCACCCCCTGAGAAGGCAAGCAATGTGGGTGCCATATTCTAGCCCTTAGTAACCCTGCCTTTCCTGTTTAAGAATCAAATAATTTGAGGCCTGCATGGGACATACATCCAGTCTAATCCATACACAAGGGAAACCCCACACTATGACATAGCCAGTCCTGCCCAAGACTGTGATATCTATGTCCCTTGTGGTTCCCTTGGGCAAAGACCCAGCGAGGCACACGTAGGTGGTAGGTAGGTGCTAGGTGTTTCGTTTGCTTCACGCCCCTCATTGTAGCTCCTGGCTCAGGCCATGTATCACTTGGCTTTATCTGTTCCTCAGCTCTGGGGCACCAGTTCCTGGCTCATGCCTACTGCCCTGGGACCCTGGGCGAGCAGCTGCCCTTTTCCTGGGACAGAGGTCATTACTCAGAAATGTTTCACCTGTCCTCAATTCCTGGTAACAAGCTTGCTTCATTTCCTGTGTCTTTTGTTGACAAGGCACAACCTTCCCCCACTGCCATTCTCCAGGCCCTAGCAGGGAGACCCACTGGCTGTTCCCGCCTCCAGAGTTGGCTCAGGCCTTTCCTTTGTTTCCCTCCACTTATGTGGGCCTGGAGCCCACCTGCATCCTAGAGGGAAGGTGACTCCTCAGCCTCCATCTTCTTGCTAGCTCCTTCTGGCCTCCTTGCTGACTCCTGGATAGGGATCCTGGGGATGGCATGGGGTGGCCTGGCAGGCCTTTCTCTACCTCTCCTACCAGCCCATGCCCAGCCAGTGGAGTTTTTTAATTCACCTAGATTCTCCTAGCTTGAGTGTGAATACCTTGTCATTCCCCTCACTGTTCAAAACAAAAATGGAACTTTTTTCTTTCTTTAAATATTCTTTTTTCTTTTTTTTAATTCTTAACTTGAACACCAAAAAAAATAAAGGCATGTCACAACACACAGCTCAGCATAATAAAGTAGTGTATATGAAACTATGAATCTCCGTTTCACACTGTTTGCTTTTTAAAAATAAAGAAGTCAGGGCAGCTAGGTGGCGCAGTAGATGGAGCACCAGCCCCGGAGTCAGGAGGACCTGAGTTCAAATCTGGCCTCAGACACATGACACTCACTAGCTGTGTGACTGTGGGCAAGTCACTTAACCCCAATTGCCTCACACACACACAAAAAAGTCTACAATAAATTCTACGCTTTACTTTCAGAGCTGCCGTGTTTGTCAGTATTTCCTTCTGTTCTCTTTTGTGCATTTTTAAAAAATGTTACAATACCCTTCTTTTTCTTTTTTCTTTCTTTTTTTTTTTTTTTTGCATTGCTGTTGCTATCTCCTCCCCCATTAACTTTAAGAAAGAAAAAGAAGTGTGTGGGGGGAGGGGAACTTATAAAAAAGCATAGCCAAGCAAAACAGATCCACGGAGTGGCCATGTCTAATAATGTAGTTCTCTATACCTTGTATCCATTCCACCATGTTTCATCATAGATCCTCTGGAGATGTGGTTAGTCACTGTTTTGATGATAACAACAACAGCAGTAATAATAGCAGCCAACATTTATATGGTGCTTACTGTATGCCAAGCGATGTGCTAAGTGCTTCACAATTATTGTGTCATTAGATCATCACAACAACTTTGGGAGGAGTGAGGCAAACACAAGTTAAGTGACTTGCTCAGGGCCATACAGCGAGGCTGGATTTGAACTTGGGTTTTCCTGACTCCAGGCCCAGTGCTGTATCCACTGTGCCATCTAGCTGCCTTTGATCAGAGTTCTTAATTCTCTCAGTTATTTTTCTTTGTGATGTCATTCTTTTGGTTCTGCTTCCTTCATTCTGTGTTAGTTACTACTCAGGATTCTCTGGAATCATCTCTTTGGTCTTTTTTTTAAAAATATTTTATTATTTTTTTCCAATTACATGTAAAAACAGTTTTTTTAACATTCTTTTTTTTAAAATTTGAGTTCCAAATTCTCTACCTCCTTCCCTCCCCCTTCTTTGAGACAGTAAGTAATTTGATATAGGTCATACATGTGCAATCATGCAAAACATATTTTCATATTAGTCATGTTGTGAAAGAAAACACAGACAAAAACCAAAAAAAAAACACCACAAAGAATAAAGAAAGTGAAAAATAGTATGCTTCAACCTGCATTCCGACTCCACGAGTTCTTTCTCTGAAGGTGTATAGCATTTTTCATCATGAGTCCTTTAGAATTGTCTTGGATCATTGTATTGCTGATAAGAGCTAAATCCTTCACATTTGATCACCGTACTCTTTGTTCATTTCTTATAGCTTGATAATATCTCATTACATGTACGTACATTTACAGTTTGTTCAACCGTTCCCCAATTGCTTAAGAGGCAGCCTGAGATATCCCCTTAGATTCTAGTTCTTTTCTCCTCCCCTTCTTCCTCCCCCCAAATTCCTGCCTTCAGGATCAGGAAGTTTGTTTTGTTCATAGCTTTTCCCTCCCCATTATTATACTCCCACATAGTACCTCCTTCCCTCAGTCCCCACTTGTTGACTTGATGAATTTCTGCACCAAATTCTGTGCATGACTCTGTGTTATTTTCTTAACCCTCCTTGGTCAGTTTCAAATAAGAGAGGGGCTCACCTGATGCCCAGTCCCCTCACCCCTTTCTTCATGTTTATATATTCTTGTGCACCTCAGTTATAAGAAATGTCAGGTTCCATGCCCTTTCTACTTTTTTTCCACTAGTATATTCTTCCCTTTACCCTCCCTCCTCTTCCCTCTTTTAAATCGAAAGGACAGAACCAGTCTCCCCACCCACACACATACACACCTCCACCCAGGATCTCTGTTTTTCTTATTAAGATATTTATTTTTTACCTTTTGAAGACAAGGTTCTGAAGGAACATTTGTTTCTAGTCCCCTCATTAAAATGTGAGCACTCCCATCATCCTACAGCTCCTTACAGTGTCTCAAATGAATTTACCTTTCTAGGTTTCTCTGGACTCTTGGGTTTGTATTTCAAAATTCCTGCTCAGCTGTGGTCAAGCATTTCATCAGACATGCTTGCAGGTCCTTCATCCCATTAAAGATCCACTTTTCCCACTGTAGGATTATACTTAGCTTTGCAGGTTAAGTTGTTCTTGGTTATAAGCTTGTATCTTTCTTTACCTTTTGGAATATTGTGTGCCAAGATCTCCTCTGGTTTTTATTAGACACTGCCAGGTCTTGTGTGAGCCTGATTGCATAATTCCCTGGTACATGAACTGCTTCTTTCTGGATGTTTGTAATAGTATGTCTTCTTTGATGAGGGAGCTTTGGATTTTGGCAATGATATTAATGAGATTTTACCCTTCGGGGTTCCTTTCATTTGGTGATGATAGATTTTTTCTATATGTGCCCTCTGTTTCTGATAGATTTAGGTAGTTTATGATTTTGGGGGGAGGGGGAATTGGGGTTAAGTGACTTGCCCAAGGTCACACAGCTAGTTAAGTGTCAAATGTTTGGTCTGAGGCTGGATTTGAACTCAGGTCCTCCTGACTTCAGGGTCGGTGCTCTATCTACTGCGTCACCTAGCTGCTCCTATGATTTCTTGAAATAGAATATCTGGACTTTTTTTTTTTTTTTAATCATAGTTTTGGAGCAGTCTGGTGAGTCTTAAATTCTTTCTTCTTGAATTATTTTCCAGGTCAGTCGTTTTGAATATCAGATAATGTTATATTTTCTTCTGTTTTATCCATTGTTTGATTTTGTTCTAATATTTTTGCTGTTTCATGAAATCATTGATTTTCGTTTGGTCTATTCTGCTTTTCAGAAATTTCATTTCCTGGGCAAGGATTACCACATTCTCTTCTGACCTACTTATTCTCTTTCCAATTCTTTCCTCAAGAGTTCATTTCCTTTTTTAATGTCTTGCTTCATTTCTTCTAGGTATTCATGTATTCCTTGTGGAAAATCCCATTTTTTTCCTTTGAGTCCCTGTTTGCAGTTCTTGGAGTTAAATTTGCAGTGATTTTTTTTTTAAGTTTGAAAAAAATTCATTATTTTTACCTTTTCTTTTTTAAATTTTGAGTTCTAAATTCTTTCCTTCCCTCCCCCACTCACTGAGAAAGCAAGCAATATGATATCAATTATACATGTGAAATCATGCAAAATATATTTCCATATTACCCATGTGGCAAAAAAAAGGAAGAAAAATAAAGCAAGTGAGAAAATTATACTTCACTTTGCACTCAGAGTTCATCAGTTCTCTCTCTGGAGCTGGGTAGCATTTTTTTATCCTGAGTCGTTTGGAATTGTTTTGGATTGTTGAATAGATCAGGGCAGTAACCAAGTCACACACACAGTTGGTCATTGCCATTACTGCGTGCAATGATCTCCTGGTTCTTTGCAGTGATTTTTGATGCCATTTGGTGTCTTCTGTGATTTACTCATCACTTCAGCTTTAGTTCCTAAATTGAGGCTTTGTGTCAGGGACAAGTCCCTGCTGCTCTTTTGAGTGAGGTGATCTGGTCTGTTTCTTGGTCCCCTTGGTTCTTGCACTGACCTCTACTGCCTGGGATTCAGCCTCCTTAGAGTCTTTGAAGTTCAGAGCAATGGATCTTCAGCATTTCAGGGCAGGGTTAGGAACCTCAGAGCCCCTGGGCCCGAGCAGGCCCAATCTGAGGGCTGTAGGAGCTTTCTGACAACCCTGGTTGCCTTTAAGGCAATTGCTGCCTCTGGACAGAGAGCCCATAGGCTACATATGTTTTGTGTCTGGTCAGGCCCTGAGATCGTCTCTGGATATACAGCCTTACAGGCTACGTGTGTTCAGTGTCTGGTCAACCTGGGATGGTTGACGCTGACCCTGCTGGGGGTTGAGGATGGGGCCTGCACTATTGTCCATGGGCTGATTTTTGTGTGTGTGCAGTTCTGGAGTAGAAGATGTCACTTATTGTAGTTTCTCATTGTGTTTCTTGAACATTTTTCAGTCTGGTGCTAACTCCAGGGTGCTGCTGGAGTAGGGATGTGGGAGCTGGGTGGTCTGATTCCCATTCAGATGGCCATCTTGGCAGGAAGACAAACATAGAGTTTGTTATTATCAACTAGAGCATGGGGTCAGAAAACTGTGCCTGGGACCCATGAGCTAAGAATGATTTTTAAATTTTTAAATCAAGTTTTCTTGTATTGAAAAATATAAAAACCAATCTTGGCTGGTCTGAATTTAGCCCTCGGGCCATAGTTTACTGAGGCTAAAGTAAAGAAAGAAAATTAAGGAGCACTCCTAAAGTCTTACCCTTAGATAACAGCAACTCATTGTATGATAGTAATAACAATAATACCTAATAGCTAACATATATATAGTGCTTTAAGGTATGTAAAGTGCTTTACATATACTACCTTATTTAGTATATATTTTATTATACTTGTCATGCCATATATTATATCATCTCACATATCACATATTATGTCACACATGATATGTTATGTCATGTCCTACTGTATATTACATTCTATTCTGTTCTATTATATATTATGTTATATATTACATTGCATCATGTCATTATACCTTATATTACATTATATATCTTATCCTGTTATATATATCATATTATATCATATCATAACATTACAGTATAGTATAATAATGAGTACTAGGCTTAGGAAACCTGGATTCATTCAAATCCTGGCCCTGACTTTTTTCTCTTTGTGTGACCGTCACCTTTGGCATATTATTTAACTTGTCTCACCCTGTTTCCTCACCTGTACAAAAGGTGAGTGTGTATTGCATATATAGGTAGAGGTATATATAGGTATTTAAAAGAAGATACAGGGTGATTTTGAGGGCTCCCTTTTATATAAGTATATTAAGACTTATGAAGTACATTGATTACAACATCCCCATGAGGTGCGTTGTTAACAGATTATCCCCATTTCGCAGATGATGAAACCAGGTCTTAGAGAAGTGAAATAACTTATGGAGTTCTCCTTCATCTGGCTGGGGAAGCCAGCACAACTCCTCCATAACCAGCTGCCTTCCCATCTAGTGAATATTTGGGCCTGACCCTGCCTTGCATTTCAGAAGACCCCCTCTCCTCTGCCTCGCCCAAATTCCTCTCTATTTCAAAACTGACACCCTCTTTGAGTTTTGGGTGAGGCTTCAAAGTGCTGTCATTCAGATAATTATATGATTTCTGAAGTCTCTTCCATGCACAAAAAATATCTAGTTCATCTTCTTCATTCAGCAGGTAAAGAAGCTGAGGCTTTGAAAAGGAAAGTGACTTGCCAGAGGTCCAGTAACAAGTCCTGGCAAAGCCAGGGTTGGAGCCCAGACCTTTTGGCCCCCACTCCCCCTGGCCACCTTCCCAGAACACCTTGTCTAATCAGTACTGGAATGAATGGATGTAGGCAGTTTGGTGCCGTTTGCCTCTCTTTGCCCATAACCCACCTGGCTGATCTGTCTTCTGGTCAGAGAGGAAGAGTTTTGCAAGACAGAGTACCTGGGCCTGGGTGCACCTGTGGTAGGCTACTTATGATTGGTAGATTGAAACGGGTGAGCAAGCAGTTATGAAGTGCCTACTGTATACCCTGTGTGCCATGCTTGGGATGCAGAACAATGCAGCCTGACAGCCTCTGCCCTCAAGGGCCTGATTATCTAACAGGAGAAGACACCTCATAAAGGGGGGCTGGAAAGGTCAGGGTGGGGGACACATAGAGGAAGTGGCCCAAAAGCCCAGTTTCTCTCAGAGCCAAGAACTTGGGGGCAGGGTCCAAAGAAAGCAAGGACAGTGTCCACAAAAGTCAATGAAGTATCAAATCTGGCCTCAGACACATAACACTTACTAGCTGTGTGACCCTGGGCAAGTCATTTAACTCCATTGCCTAACCAAAGGAAAAAAAAAAGTCAATGAAGTAGGTGTTTGGCACTACTCTAGCCTCTCTATCATCCTCTGTGAGTCAGGCACCCAGGGCTTGCTTGCTACTTCTGGGAAGTCCTGAAGTCTAGACTTTTCCTTTTCAAATCCTTCTTATTAAAAACCTATTTCGTGTCCTATCCTCCTGAGGCACTGTGCTTAGATACCAACAAGTGTTCCTAGGTTAATGAGTACTAAATCTGGAGTTAGACGACCTGGCTTTGGATCCTGGATTGGCCACTTACTAGGTTTGTGATCCTAGGCTCTCTGGGCCCCAGTTTGCCCATGAGAACATTGAACCAAATGATCTCTAAGGGTCCTTCCATCTTGAAATTCTAAGATCTTTCTGTATAACATCTTTGCTTTCCTCACAGGGGCCTCCTGAAGACAGTGCCTCAATTCTGTTGGTGGATTTTTTAGCCCATAGGGTAGGGAAGAAGTGGTTGTCCTCCTGGGCCTAAAGGCACTTAGCTAGGGGATAGAAAGGAGTGATCTTGCCTGGATGAACTTTGAGGAAGTCCAAAGAAATCTGCCAGGGTAAAGCCAGAGATGGTTTCCATCAAGGTTATTACTCTCAGGTCCCCTTCCCATGGGTGGGCAGCCAGCACCAAGGATATATCATAACAGATAAAGAATCAGCTTGTTAGAGGTGGCTTTAAGAACTGAGGATTCACACGCATTTCTTTCTTTTTGTCTCTCCCGGCAGCTGGTGCCTCCTTTTAAGCCACAAGTCACGTCTGAGACAGACACCAGGTATTTTGATGAGGAGTTTACAGCCCAGATGATCACAATCACCCCTCCTGACCAAGGTAAGTGCCAGGGCTTGAAAGGGCAGCTCCTGGGGCAGGACCTGGTGGCTCATGGGGGATGATGGAGGCCTGGCCTTTGGGGTGGTTGGGGTGGGAGGAGAGGAGCAGTATATGAGAGACTTAGACTAGAGAGGAAAGGGGTTGTGGGAAGACAGAGGCCAGAAATAAATGGGGAGGTAGGGGCTTGAACTAGGAGAGATGAAGCCTGGGATTCAGTTAAAAAAAAAAAAAAGGCTAGGGAGATGGAGGCAGAGATCAGAGGTTGGGGAGGACAGGAGAGAGTAGAAACCTGAACTAGAGGGATAAAGGCCTGGGCTAGAGGGACTGAGACTGGGACTGGGAAGGTAGAAGCCAGGCCTGGAGACAAAAGCTGGAGTTATTGGGGTGAATGGGGTTAGGTGGTTCAAGAGCTATCTTTGATAGCTCTTTGATGTTGACCTCTAAAAAGGGATGCTCGGAAGTGAATAGGTCTAGGAAGATATAGGTAGTGAGCCTGTTGTGGAGATGGTCCATTAGAAAAGCTATTACTTCATCATTTGTTAGAGACTTCCTCTGTGTCTAGGCTGGTATGCAAGTAGGATAGGACAGCAGTAATGAGCAGCGCTTGACAAGGAAGTAGGATATCTTAGCTTTAGTGCTTGGCTCTAAAATGGACTTGCTGTGTGACCATAAGGGAGTCACTTCTTGCCTCTGTGTTTCACTTAATTGCTCTGTAAATTGAGGGGGTTTAACAAGATGGTATTTAGGTATTACCTCTGACATTCTGTGTTTAAGAAGAATAAGAATAATTTCCATTTCTACAGTCCTTACAGGTTTACAAAGGGTTTTTCTTAGAGCGTGTATTGGATGGTACAAGTGTTATCATCAGTAGTAGTGGTGGTGGTGGTGGTAGCTGTGATAGTGGTAGTAGTTGTTGTTTTACAGATGGGTAAAATGAAGCTCAGAAAAGTTAAGTGAGTTGTCTAATATCCCAACAACAAACATTTATTAAGCACCCGCTGTATGCCAGTCACAGTCCCAAGCACTGGGGATATAAAAAGGCAGAAAACAATCCCTGCTCTCAAGGACCTCTCAGTCTAATGGAGAAGACAACATGCAGACAACTATGTACAAACGAGATTTAGATGGAATAAGTTGGGGGCAAACAACAACAGAAGGAAAGCACTAGGATTAAGAGGCAATCCTGAAAGGCTTCTTGTAGAAGGTGGGATTTTAGCTTGAACCTGAAAGGAAGCCAGGAGGCAGAAATGAAGAGGGAGAGCATTCCAGGCATGGGGCTAGAGAAAATGCCTGAAGTCTGGAGATGGTGTGTTTGAGGAACAGCAAGGAGGCCAGTGACACTGGATTGTAGAATTTGTGGAGCCCACGCGGGGAGTAAGATATAAGAAGATTGGAAAGGGGCAGCTAGGTGGCGCAATGGATAGAGCACTGGCCCTGGAGGCAGGAGGACCTGAGTTCAAATCTAGCCTCAGACATATACTAGCTGTGTGACCTTGGGCAAGTCACTTAACCTTGATTGCCTCTAAAAAAAGAAGACTGGAAAAGTAGGAGGGGCTCAGGTGGTGAAGGATCCCATACTCCGTATGTGTCATACCTGGGATTTGTGTAGAGGTCTCTTGGCTCCAAAGGGAGTGTTCCTTCCCCTTAGTTAAGGGCCCAGGGTCTCTTTTAAGTTCTGACCTTCATTTCACAGCTAATTCTACATCTTTATCCTGAGGTAGGAGAGAAAGTAAGAAAAGATTTAGGTTCATATGTGTTCCTGCATGACTCTTACATCTCACCCACGGTAGGGCAAACTGAGGAAATCCTATCTATCCCCAGATTTAGCCTGGTGACCCCCATTGAATGAGTCAGGTGACTCATTGAAGGCCTGGCCTGCTCTTCTGTTTAATGGAGAGTGAGGAGAGAGAAGACCAGTCAAGCTGGGAGGTCTCCCTGGAGACTGTACTGAGCCTTGCTTTAGATGCAGGCAAACGGTTATGGCGTTCCAGTGACAGCTGGAGGCAGAATGGGGTACTAAAAAGAATCTGGCTTAGGAACGAAGGAGGTCTGGATTCGTAGCTTGGTCATATCCCATTTCTGAACCTCCGAATCTTCATTTGTAAAATGGGATAATGAAGATTCCCACTGCCAACTTCACAGGACTTTTGAGAGGACTTTTGCCTGGCACATAGCGGGCGCTTAATAAATGTGTATTGAATTTAATGGATGTTTATTGAAGAATTGTTATTGCTTTGGGGACTCTGGTCTCTGGGGTCCCTTCCAGCTCTTGATTCATGTTCCAAGAACTCACATTCACGTGACCCAGCTTCCTTATTTTGCAGAGAGGGAAACTGAGGTCCAGAGAGGAGAAGGGTAGAAGTTTTGTAAATTTTAATTCCTCCGAGTTGTTGTTTTCCCTAACTCAAGAGAGATCCTCAGACTGGAGTCTGGAGAGGCTCAGGCTGAGGTATGGAGATGTGTCTGAGCCTGGTCGAATCTGTGGCCTCTCTTGCTTCTTCTCACTTTCCTCCCACCAGCCCCCACCCTAGCAAGGCCTTGTGGAGGGACCACCAGGCAGGGCTGGCCAAATCAGCCAGCCTCCCAAAGATGGGGCCAGCAGGCAGACACCTCCTGGTCCTCAGAGGCTCCCCTAAAAGGGGACTTGGGGCTACCCTGGTTCGTGGACGGGAGTGGAGCCCAAAGCTACAGGGCCACTCTGAGAGGGGAGTAAGGGGGTTTCCCACACCAGCAAGTCATGCCTAACCCCCAGCGCAGCCGGCGTCACGGCCTCCCAGGATGACCAGACAGAACATAGGTGGCCTGTAAGGCTCTTTGTCCAGAGGCAGCAAGAGGAAAGGGTTGTCTTAAAGACGCCCAGGATTATCAGAAAGCTGCTGTGGCCCAGACCCCTAAATGTACCAGATTCGCCCCCTTCGTTTTACAGATGGAGAAACTGAGCTTCAGAGAGAGGCACTTACTTGTTTGAGGTCACAGAGTGAATTCGTGGCAGCACCCAGGAACAGATAGATGCCAGCTCTCCTCCCTCCAGGAGCGGGAGTCTCGTGTTCCCAGACAGTTGGTCTTTTAAGACAAATTGAGCTCGGTTTCTTGCTCAGCAGGGAATTCTTTAGACTTCAAAGTTTTATTTCCTTCAGATTTTTTTTAGTTCTAAATATAAAAAATATAAATATAAAAAGGGGGTGATAGTTTGTTTTCTTTTACGAGTGAATTATCTGGTCTCCCACCGTCTCCCGTCCTAACTGTCACTAGTGTTTGGCACATCCCTCAACTAATGTGCTGTTAGAGCTAGTCCTGCAGGCAGAATTTCCTGAGGTGGGCCATCTAGTTTCAGGGAAGTCCTTCTGTGGCTCTCAAGTACCCCACAGGTCATCCAGAAGTGTCCAGAACTTCTCAAGAAAACCTAAAACCACCCTTTTTGTTCATTTTTGAAAATTCACTAGATAACCAGAATTCAAGAATAGGTTTTATATAAGGAAAATTATTTTTATTATCATAATATATTATAATTGTATAATTATACCATAATGTAATTATACTATATATAATCATATTAATATCAAACATAAAGGTTGTGATTACACATTAGATACATTAAAAGTATTAGACAATGTAGAGTACATTTATCTTAAAATGCTAAAAAGCATAGAAATAAAAAAACCTTTCTTCAATATAATCAAAAGAATCTATCATATAAAAAACAGAAAAATGAATTGAAATAATTCACTGATACACTAAAATGGTAGGAAGAATATGAAATAAATTCACAAAAATCACCCATATTTTTTGTATATTTCTAACAACATTTAAAAGAGCAAGTCTATAAAATAACAGCAAAATGCATTCAGTATCTGCATATGAACCTACCAAGAAATTGACAGGAATGATATAAATATACCCAAATAGAAAGCAAGTCAATCTATGTGGAGGGTCAGCTAGGACTTGGGGAAGGCCGGGGAGGTGAGTGTGTGGATCTCCAGGAGATGGTATCAGGGCCCAGTGAGACTTGAGGCGCTGAGCTGAGAAGGAATAGGCTGAGGGGCTAGTCTGGGCTCTACCTTCTATGGGTCACCTGAGAGCTGTAACTGTGGAATGATTTGAGCAGAAGCAGACCATTTGTGTTCCTCCTCACAGTGCCCTGAGCAGCACCTGTGAGTTTAATGCTGTGAGCCCTGTAAGACTGATGAAGAATTGGCTGGACAATCCCCTGGAAGAAGAGGATCAGGCACTAATAATTCTCCTAGGGGAAAGCAGTTTGGCCTTGGGAGTCAAAAGGGACTGGCTTCTAGTCCTGGCTCCATTGGTAACTCGTTGTGTGACCTTAAACAAGTCTTTACTGACTCTCTAGCTGCTAAATTTGGAGATCTGGGTTGAATTGTAGCTCTGCCACTTCGAAAGCCAATTATGTGACCTTGGGCAAATCTGTTTTGAGAATCTCTGCAAAACAGGGAGCTTGGCCTATGTGGCTTCTCCTGCCCTTTCCAGGTCTAAATCCATGATCCTCAGTTTCCAAGTCTGGCTGTGGCCTTTGTTGTCCCTCCCAGGTGTTTGGTTAGGAGAATAGCAGATCCTTTATATCTAAAGCCCCTGCGCCCACCTAGCCAGGATTCAAGGAAAGGTGATAGAATTCAGACTAGTTGGGTGGCTCCTTGTCAGACTTGGTCTGTGTCTACCACATAGTAAGGGCCCCCAAGGCCTTGAGTATCTCTGTGGACTTTTAACTGTTCAGCTAGGGTTATATTTGGAATGAAAGCAAGGGGAGACGAGAAATTGTAGAGGGAAAAGGAAGGGGGAAAGTATTTCTTAGGTGCCTACTATGTGCCAGGCGCTAGGCTAAGTTCTTTAATAATATTTGATCTATACAGCAACCCTGCAGGGTAGGTGCTATTATTGTCCATTTTACAGTTGAGGAAATGGAGTCAGACAAAAATTAAGTGACTTAGGATCATCCAGTCAGTAAGTGTCTGCAGTCTGATTTGGACCCAGACCCCATACTCTGTCCACTTCATTACCTAGCTGCCCACCAGACGGTACAGATGGGTGAGAAGGAGAAGAGGTAAGACCAGGGAAGAAAAAGAGAGTGTGTTAAAGGAGGGACAAGGGAGGAAAGGTGACCGACCTCCAGGTGGCCTGCCTGTTGTGACTCGTGCCCATGTACTTCATGCTCAGCATCTTATTCCACTGTCTTCTCTCCTTTCCAGATGACAACATGGAGTGTGTGGATAACGAGAGACGGCCCCACTTTCCTCAGTTCTCATACTCTGCTAGTGGGACGGCGTGATGTGTGGCCACCCCGCCGGCATCCATTCTGAAGCAAACACATGGAGGGCCAGACTGCATTCGGGGGACTTGGGCTTCAGCAGACACTAGGGAACTTCTTGTGTTACCTGACTTACGAACGATGTTGCTTTGTACAACACTTTAGATTAATTTCTAGGAAGTTTCACCATTGATTTGTATTTAAAAAAAGAGAAAGAAAAATTCTCTGATGTGTTTTTGAGAGGAACCGAAGCAATTATGATGTTGTCATTTTCATGCCATCAGGACCTAAGGGTCGGAAAGAACATGTTAAAAAAAATGTTCATTTTAGGAATAAGACGTCTAACATATCAGCCAGTTTGAATAAGAAAAATCCCCCTCATCTTTTTATTTATTTCATCTAGCTTTTTTTTTTTTTCACCTCTATGTTGCCTCGGCACTCAGAACACCCGGGTGGATGGATTTAGAAAGATGTAAAGACATTTGTCGCTAGTGCAATAATTAACCTCAGCAGCAAGATGAACAGACTCGGAGGGCCGAGGAGAGCTCGGGGGTGGGGTGGGGGCGGATCCTCACCGCCCATGCAGAGAGACCGCCTCCCAGAAGGAGCCGAGCCAGTGGCCTCAGGCCCTCTACAGCCCCAATGCGATGGCCACAACTCCTGATGTGGGGCGAGCGGGATGGTTCAGGGAGGCTAATCGAGGTTCTGCATAGGAAGTAATCCTAAGTTGTCATGGGGAGCATCTATGGACTAGATAACTGTTGGCACCAACTCCCTGGCAGCCTCCTCCACCTCCCCCTCCCTCATCAGGCCTCATGCCGCATGGGCCATGCACACCCAACCGGAATTCCTCCAGTGAAATAAATATTGGCACTGAGCCCCCCCTCCTAATTCCTCAACTACCTTCTGAGGGTAGGTGGTGAGTTCCTGGATGTGAGTATGTAGGAAAAAGCCCCCTGTAACCTCCTATAATTGTGCCCAGGCCACATTCAGTCTCAGCGAAGCTTTTTTTTTTCCTTGGGCTATGTATAACAAAAGTACTTGAATTTGATTTTTTCCTCTGTATTCAAAGGAATATGATGTCAAAGTACATGGGGGGGTGTATCTTGTTAACTATATTGTGGACAGGAGCTACTCTACCCCACTCCTCCAACACACACCATCCCCTTCCTCACATTTCATTGTCCACATCATCTTAGTAACTTTCCACAAACAACATCTCGCTATGTTTCCGGCAAGTGCCCGGCTCTCCCATCGTAGGTTATATTCTTTCTAGTTTGCTTATGCACCACTCCCCGACTGTCCAACCCCATGAAATGAAATGTGCTGCTGGCATGAGAAGCTTCGGCCGCAGGGCACGCCTCGCCTCCCCCACCCCCACCCTCACCCCTCACCTCTGTCCATGGCATTTTTTTATAATGTTCAACTTTACTATTTTTACTATTATAATATGGAAAATTTCCCTCAGAATACTTCAATAAAAATTGCTTTACAAGTTAGGCCCTTGTTTTCTTGAAAACTGTGCATCAAATGAGAGGGGAAGGTGTCAGATGTCAGCAGGGGGTAAAGAGAAGATAGAGGTATGTTTGAATGAATGAGTGAATGAAATAGCATTTACTAAACACAACTATGTGCAAAGCACTGGGGATGCAAGGAAAAGCAGTATTTAAATCCCTTCTCAAGAAGCTCATACTCTGATTTTTTTTTTTTGAACTGGTTTTTTTTTGGGATGTTTTTTCAGGTTTTCAATACTGTGGCAGCTAGGGGGAGATGCTCAGCACCTGTCAAATCAGTTGCCAGGCTGCATCTCTGAGATTGCTTCCCTGGATGCTGGCTACAGAGACAGGGCTGGAGGCAGGACCCTGAGGTTGGAGGCAGCACTGATAGGGCTGGAGGCAGGACCTCGGTGGGGGGGGGTGGAGGGCGCTGCTGCTGCCCTGGCTGTTGTGCTCAGGCTCTTGGCCAACCCCATCTGGGTCTGAGGGGAGGTGATGGTCAAGGTGGTGTGGATGGTTTGACTTGCAGGCCATATCCTGCACTGCTTCAACAAGAATGAATGCAAGAGTCGAGGCAGCTTCAAGCAGGAAGGGGTCTTAAAGTTCTTCTTGTCCAATCCCCTCATTTTAGAGATGGGGAAAGCGAGGCCCAGAAAGCTTGGTTCTCACGGGTATGCAGCAGAGCCAGGGATCCTGACTCCAAATCTGTGGCTCTTTCCATCACAACAAACTGCTGCTCAGGTTCAGCAAGGGTTTATTAAGGACTTGCTATCCCTAATGAGGCCGTGCTGGTCTTGGAATCAGGAAGACCTGGATTCAGGTCCTGATTCAGACACACACTTGGTGTGTGACCCTGGGCAACCTCTCAGTGGCCCATGAGATGCTAAGACTGTGAGTTGCAAAGACAATTGCCAGTCTTCACTGAGAGATTCCTCAGTAGGACAGTCCCTACACAATGAAATCACAGATCCAGTCCAAAATCCCTCTTAATAGTAATAGCTTGCCTCCTTAATTCTTGTCTTTTTTGTACAGTTCTTTAATGCTTTTATCATATTCCTCATGACAACCTACTGTGTTAACTATATGTCTTATCCCTTTAATAGTTCACATTATATAGCGCTTTAAGGTTTACAAAGATACACTATCTCATTTGAGCCTTACAACCCTGTAAGATACTAGTATAGCAAACATCAAACATTTATTAAGCACCTACTGTGTGCTAGGCTCTGCACTTAAGTGCTCAAGGTGCCAATGCAAGCCAAAAGAAAGGCCCCACCCTAAAGGGCCTTAACATTTCTAATGGGGAAAAACTACCAGAAGTGAGGGAGATACCCTCAATGGGCATGTGGATGCAGCTAGAGCCTGGTTAGAACCCACCCTCTGAAGGTGGTGGGTTCTTACTATTCAAAGTTACAGTTATGTAAATATGATGATTGGGTCCAACCCAGTAGAAATATAATTATGTGACCCCTCCGTTCCTTATTCACATGAATCTGGACTTAGCTGTACTATCATCTATGCTTCATAAAGAAGTTGAGGCTGAGAGGTTGTGACTTGCTTATAGTCACATAGTGTCAATCTGCAGGATTTGAACCCAGGTCTTCCAATTCCTCTTCCAATTCCAGCACTCTATCCATTGTACAATGCTGCTTCAACTATAAACTCAATGAAGGCAAGGACTCCAGTTTGGTTAACCTTTCTCCACATTTCCTACACACAGTAAGTGTTTAATGTTGAGTTGTGTTGTGATATCTGCATGGTGCAACTGTTTGCCTGAGTTTCCTGAGCTGGAGAAGGAAATGGCAAATCACTCCAGTATCTTTGCCAAGAAAACCCCAAATAGGGTCACCAAGAGTCGGACAGGACTGAAAATGACTGAACAGCAACATTCTGTACATATGGATCCCTGTAGCCATATATTGACTTAGTTTTAAAATGTAATATTTTGTCTGTTTTATTTGTACCTTTATTTAATCTGGTTTGGGCCACACTCTCAAGAGCTATGGGCCCTGTGCTGCCAGCCAGCTGTATGTTTGACACCTCTGGTGCAGGCTATTTTCCTACTTCTGTTTACTTGATTCTGCCTCAGTTCATGCCTGCTCCTCTCAATTCCTTTAGCTTTACAGGGCCCTTCCCCAGAGGAGCTTAACAGGCCATGGGGGTTCATTGCTGCCATGGAAATCTGAGATAAACCTCCGTAAGTGAGGCTTTTGCCTGGAAACCCTTTCTGTGAGGTTAGTGATGGTAGGTCTGAGCCAGGTATCACAATGAAACCTGGGGAGAGAAGAAAGGGATCAGCCATGAAAGGAGGGAGATAAGGAAAGAATAGTCAGAAAGCTCTGGAAGGGACTGATTAGGCTTCCCCTGCTTCCTTCCCAAAGCATTTCCCCATTTATCACCACCATCCCTTCCCCTCAGGCCTCTGGCCACCAGTAAGTCCTCGTTCCTGGAACATAGACCTACAGTTTGACTTTCGATCAGGTTACATCCTTTCTTAGAAGCAATCTGGGCAAGTGAAAAGAGCCCTGGACTTGGAATGAGAAAACCCGGATTCAAATCCCAGTCCCAACAACTTTCCAACTGTGCCATTGGGCTCCTCTCTGGGTCTCAGCATCCTAAGTTATTTTTATCTTAAAATACACCTCCTACCTCACAGAATTGTGGTGAGGAAAGTAAACCTAAAGAGCTGGAGAAATCTGAGGTGTTCTTACTAATATTTATACCTGATGCCTAGCAGGGTCTAAGAAAAATATCTAACAAATCTGCTGCTGCCCATGGTGCCTGGGGAAGGTAAAGACGTTGGGGTGACACAGACAAGTCCAGAGCCTGGGCAAGAGGAAGCCAGCCAACCATCTGAGTGATGAGGGTAGGTTGTAACGAAATGCTTTGGAAATAGCAAGTCAAAAGCTAGTCGCTGTTACTTCTGTTAGAACCATACCATGGCAGAGTTGTGAAGTATTCCCAAACACAGACTGACTGAGTTGGAAAGGACCTTAGAAGATAGAAGGTCTGAACTTGAATGAATCTGAGAGACTTTGAAGTCCCATTCCACGTTTTACAAAATTAGATGTAGTCTCAGAAAAAAAAACAAAAACAAAAAACAAAAAACTTCCCCAAAATCACAGAGAATAAACAAGGCCTGGGATTAGAAACCTCAGGGTTCCTGATTAAAGGTTTGGGACTAGGCCCAGGGGTCCTGTCAGGGATGCTTCTACCAGGAGGGGCTGTGGCTGACCTCCTGGCCCTGGCTGTCAGTTTCCACTGTGGGTTCAACATGAGCCTTCCCCATGGGCTTTGAGGGAGAGCTGTCCTTGCAGAGTGAGAATGCACAAGAATGTTTTCCTTTTCCTCGGCCCTTTCTTGGGAGCAAAGAGGGGAAGATGTAGAGAAAATAATACCTTAAAAAATAGCCTAACCCAAATGGCAAAAGAAGTCCAAAAAGCCAATGAAGAAAAGAATGCCCTAAAGAGCAAAATTGGACAAATGGAAAAGGAAGTCCAAAAGATTACTGAAGAAAATACTTCCTTAAAAATTAGAATTGAGCAACTGGAAGCTAATGACTTTATGAGAAATCAAGACACTGTAAAACAAATTCAAAAGAATGAAAAATTAGAAAACAATGTGAAATATCTCATTGGAAAAACAACTGACCTGGAAAATCGATCCAGGAGAGAGAATTTAAAAATTATTGGACTATCTGAAAGCCATGATCAAAAAAAGAGCCTAGACATCATCTTTCAAGAAATTATCCAGGAAAACTGCCCTGATATTTTAGAACCAGAGGGCAAAATAGAAATTGAAAGAATCCACCGATCTCCTCCTGAAAGAGATCCCCAAAGGAAAACTCCTAGGAATATTGTAGCCAAATTCCAGAGTTCCCAGGTCAAGGAGAAAATATTACAAGTAGCCAGAAAGAAACAATTCAAGTATTGTGGAAACACAATCAGGATAACACAAGATATAGCAGCTTCTACATTAAGAGACCACAGGGCGTGGAATATAATATTCTGGAGGGCAAAGGATTACAACCAAGAATCACCTACCCAGCAAAACTGAGTATAAGCCTTCAGGGGAAAAAATGGGAAGATGTAGAAATGCAGATTTCAATAAGGAAAAAAACCAACAACTTCCTGACAGTTGTTGTTGTTTGTTTGTTGTTGTTGTTTGTCCTTCGTTCTTGAAGAGGACTGTGACATCAGGGAGGTGATGTCATGACATGCAGGTGAAATGGATTTAAGTGAGGCAGACTTATGCAAAGTCACCAGCCTCACTTTCTCCTCCAGAGCCATCTGGGTCCAGTGGCAAGATGTATATCAGGATGACTGGAGGTGGCCCCCTCCTGACAGGGCTGTCTTAAAAGAATGGGCTGCCTTCTGGGAGTAGTGAGAACCTCATCATTGGAAGTATTTGAACAGAGGTTGGATAATCAATTGGGGATATTGCAGAGAGGATGCCTTCTCAGGCTAAGCTTGGACCTGATGTCTTTTTGGGTCCCTTTCAACTCAGAGTTTACCTAAAGAGGTGACGAAAAGGGGGGCAATCCAGAGATGGGCTTTTGATTCATTATTATAACTCACATTTCTTACATTACAAAATCTTCTTCCCTCTCCCACTCCCAACCACCCTGTGAAGAAGGTCAGATAATCAGTTGTATGGCATATACTTGTTTTACAAATGAAACCCAGGCTTAGACGGGTGACGTACATGTTCAAGGTCACACAACAAAAAAGTATCAGAGCTGACATATAGTGTTCTTTCAATTGAGCAGCACTACCTCTCATAAAAGTGTCTAATGGGATGTTCTGCTTTCCCGAGTTGCTTGAAGCTATGAACTACAGAGTCAGATGGTGAGAATTCTAAAGTGAGAATCACACTACTGTCACCAAGATCCTCATTGACTTAATGAGTCAATTAGAGATGATTCAAAAGACTGCTAAGCTGAGCTCAGTGCCCAGTTAAGATGCCTAGCTTCTGTTTCCCCACGCCCCTTTTAAAGCTGGGTG